TACAGAGAAGACAAGTAGTGACTCTATAGCATCTTACTACGCTGATGGACAGTGACTGGGGACTTGATAATAGGGGGAGTCTGTGGGGGGGACTTGATAATAGGGGGAGTCTAGTAGCCATATGTTGTTCAAGTAATTGTACATTAACAATACCAAAAAAAAAAGTGTGCTAGTTTATGTGTAGAAATAGTGTACCATTAGAAATACGTCTTCAAATGTCTATTGATAACACACACAGGGCATCCATGACAATTACCAGTAATATAGCCATTTAGGGTTTTCTGTCTCTTTTTACTGCTTTCCTCTTCCTTCCCTAAGTCTGTTAGTGCCTAAACAGAAGGTAGTAAATAACATTTAGAGGAATGAGAGTAGAGTAGCTAAACACGTCCCTTTCTCCAACTCTAAATTGCTAAGGATATAGTTAGTACATCTTAGGAGAAGGAAGGTTTGATATAACAATGCATTTTTCAATATGCAGAGATGGATTCTATTAGCACTGTACCAAGATTGACTTATTTAATGAATGTGTCCAAGAGTATCTTTAAAATTAGAAAGAAATGAAATTTACAAAAGTACATACGGATGTGCATTTATTTACAGGAACCTTGGATCTGCCTTATGGGTCGCCATTAAAGTCTATACCTTCTTTTTATCCTTCAAATTTTCAATTAATATGTATTACTTCCATGCCTAAATATTGTGGGGAAAAAATGACTATGTTGCATATTATTTCTAAAATAAGGTTTTTCAGAGTATTCCTGAGATGACTCAATCTGAAAAAGAACAAATACATAAATAAAATTAAGGATCCTGCAATAGCTCTAGGTAGCCAGACCAAAATTATAATGTAGAAGTAAATATATGAAGTTAACATAAAGTGCTCAGAAATAGGTGTATACGTTCAAGGTAAATTTATATTTTAACTAAGGGTTTTCCCAAAGCAAAAGAAAAGTGGATTGATAGATAGTGACAAGTAAACTATAGCACCATTGGGAGAAAAATCACATGTATAATTTATTTTCTGCTTTAAAATGCTGGACTATGAATAATTAAAAGACAAAATATAAACAATAAAATCATAGAGAAAATAAAAAAAGATATACTTTTAACCTCTTAAGTTGGTAAAAACATCTAAAATAATATTGAAACCTAGAAGATTCAGATAAAATAATTTGTTGGTAATCAAAGAGAAAACATCAAAACTTAATTAGAAATATAAATATAGGAGATTGCTTCTCTTTCTTCACAGTGAGAATGGAATGTATATATTATTAACATAAATGTACTAACAACATTTTTAAATCACAGTGATGTGGTCAGAAATACAATAAAATGGGCAAAAGAATAGCTTTACATATTTAGAAAATAACTCGCTTACATATTTATAACTACATTTATCAATTAGAAAGTATAATTCACTAATATTCTAAAATACAACTGAGATGAAAATTTTTAGCACAAAAATGACAATAATTGGAAAACTCGGCACCCAATTTTCTAAGGACGTGCAGTAATCATCAGGTACAATTAGAAAGTATAATTCACTAATATTCTAAAATACAACTGAGATGAAAATTTTTAGCACAAAAATCACAATAATTGGAAAACTGGGCACCCAATTTCCTAAGGACATGCAGTAATCATCAGGTAGAGGCATTACAAATAGAAGTAGAAATGATTGGAGATTTAACAAGACACTTTACTACTGGAATTGGAATAATGTAGATATTCATTGATTAGGATATGAATCAGAGAAATGTGGTGAATCCAATGAAGTACAATGCAGGATGTAGTACAAGTTAAAAAAGTTAAGCTCAGCAGTTTCAATGATTCCTTCATTTTATAATAAAATATAATGAAATTTATTTCTAGTAATATTTATTAGAATGAATGAATCACACAGCACACACAGATGACCATATTTAATATGAATTGACTTATCTGCCAACTAACTCTGAGGCAGTTCTCCCTTTGAGTTTGTCAAATTAGGGTGTTAGACCATGACAGGTTTGTTCAATTTAAAATTTAATTTTAGGCTAGATCAAGGTTGTCTATGTATCTGGAAATCATGGAATTGATGTCTTTTTATAAATATAAATTCCTCTCCTCTCCTGATAAAAATTATTTAACTCAACACTGAAATAAGAATTATGCAAACAATTTCATATGAACGTCTTGAGTTTACTGAGAACAACAAATACTTTTTCTCTGATGGGAATCATGCACTGTGATAAGCTGTGTTTTCTCCCCCACCTACCATCTTGACGAGCTTCTCCTGGCCCCAAATCTGGACTCCCTGTGCCTCACCCCATCACATGCCGCCCAGCTTCCATGTGCAGGAAGGTCAGTGACTGAATTCAACCATCTTAGTTCCATGTTCTTAGTCTTTGTCCTGTAAATGAATAACACTTTTAAAGTATTAATTAAAACACTATCACAATTATATGTTCTCTACGACAACTACTATTTTGTGTTTCTATTTTTTATGTGACCTCTTCTATGGAACTGGAAAGCTGTCTTTAACATTCTGTGCACAGCAGACTTAATCTCCCTGTTCCTCAGGCTAATGATGGGGTTGACTGAGCGCGGCCCCAGGGGGTAGAGCACTGCTGTGAGGGGGGTTTGAATGCTTGGTGAGTTTGAAACAGGGCCTAAGCAAGCAAACAATCCAGAAATCATGAACAGAGTAAGGGTAGCTATCTGGGGGGAGCAGGTGGACAACGCCTTGTTCTGGGCTTCCGCAGAATGCATGTGCAGCACGGTTGAAAGATGTGAACATATGAGGCAAATAAGAGGACAAAGCACAGTGACATGAGGCAAGATCTCACAGCAAGGTTCACAGACTCAGGGAACTGCACACCTGGGATGACATGCTCATAATTTGAGGCACATCACAGAAGAACTGGTGGATCACGTTGGACCCACTGAGGGGATGTCTGCACAGGGTCACTGTGTGGATGGCAGCAAGGACCAGCCCACCTGCCCACGAGCCACCTCATGCCTGTGGGCAGGAACGGGGGCCACAGTGGGCCCACAGTGCGGAGGGTGGCAGACGGCCACGGACCGGTCAGAGGACATGGCCACAGGGAAGAGGAACTCTGTGGACCCAAAGGAGGAAAGCAGGAAAGTCTGAGCAGCACAGGCTGTGAGGGAAATCAGTTTACTGCCCATCAGAGAATTTGTGATGGATTTGAGAACAGTAACTGAGATGTATCCGAAATCCATAAGGGATAAACTGCCCAGGAAAAAGTACAGAGGACAGTGAAGATGTGGGTCTACAACAGGGACAGTAAACATCACAAAATTTCCAGCCAGGGCACCCAGATAAGTGACTGAGAACACCACACCTTGCAGACCCTGGAGATCCCGGGAGTGGGAGACGTCCCCAAGGAGGAGCCCCGTGAGGGCGGTGAGGCTCCCCGTGTCTGCGAACAGGCCTCAGTGTCCTGTGGTCAGTCACACAGGATGATGCTGGGGACAGAACGGTGGGAGAGCAATTCAGTCCTTAAGTGCTGCAAAAATGTGACACAGATTGGTTTATTGAATTAAACATGTAAAACTCATACACAGTGGTTTTACCTTGAGGAGTACTTACTAATTAGCTAATGAAATAATTAGGGTATAAGAAAACACAATAAAGGAAAAATATTACATACTATATACACACATTGAAAATGTTTTGTTTTGTCCAATGGGGTATGAAAATCAAACTAGAATCTAATAAAGGAATGAGCAGGAAGAGAAGCAGAGATGATAGGCTGATGACTGAGACATGAGGTCTTTCTCCCCGTATATCAGCATTTCTCACAAAGACATGTTTGTTCTGTAAAGGCCACTGATATCACTCTTCAATTTCCTGCATCAGGCACAACTCAGAGAGTCCTTTCCTGGAGGTGAAAGGACTTTCATTCTAAGCGAGATGAAATAACAAGCATTGGGCTTTTCCATTTTACTAGGTATCTTGAAAAGGCAATGTTTTATTTGCACCTCTGGGAAACCCCAGGAGACTAGTTACTTCACCTCTCTGAAATGCAAAATGGCTCTTCAATTCTTTGTTATCTGTAGGTATTTTGGCCAATCCATCGAGATTAATTAGAACAACAAGAGTCCATTTTTAGAGATGATAATTGAAACAGGTTTGATAAAACAAGAAAGCACAAATCCTCAAATAGGTCACAGATGTGTAGTGGCTTAATAAATAAATACATTCATAAACTGTGTTAATAGAGTCAAATATCATATGATTTCACTTATTTGTGGAATATAAAAACAAAGCAAAACAGAATGAACAAAACAGCCAGTAGACACAGAGACACTGAGAGTGACTAGCGGTCACCGTGGGGGAGGGGCTGGAGTCGGGGGAAGGGTGAGGGGGGGAAAGGGGCACAAAAATTCTCAATCACAGTGAAGTTCATCACAGGGATAGCAGTACAGCATGGAGATTATAGTAAATGATTCTTTCACATCCTTCTGTTTACAGATAGTAACCACACTATTGGGGGAGTTTTTATTTTGTTCTTATGCTATTATTTATAATTTATGAAGTATTTGTGTTAATAAATATTTTCACAATCAATAAATTATTACCCCATTTTATACTTTTCATGACATAAAGTGCTTTTTTTTAAAGGTGATTGATTTGACTTAAAAAATGTACAGTCAACAAAAATGTTTTGACTCAGGTAAGCGTATACTACTTCCCAATATTTGAATACGACTATTCCACTGTTAATAATTAGTTAAATGGTACAAATTGCTTGCACTACTGAAATATTCAGCTAATTAAATCAGACGAAAGCCTGAGTAACGGCACAATCAGCACTGCACGGAACCAGGAAGCCCAGTTTCCTGACCACGGGGACACGCAGTGCATCTCTGAGTAGTTATCTGGACATCAGGAATGCTGCGCCGATATTTTTAGAATGAGTTACTCAGTCTAATACATTTATTTGACCTTTAGTCATTTGCTGACCCACAGTAAACACAGAAAAGGAACATACTCTCACCGGACACTAGACACGTCGGCAGCTGTCCCCAGAGGGTGCTGCTGTCCCTCACGGTATGAGCCCTGGACAGTTTCTTGTTCTTCTCCTGAACAAGCCGGTTCTGCTGGTTCAAGGGCTCCGTGTTAGGGCGGGTGAAGCCGGCAGGTCGGGCTTTGTCCAGCGAAGTCAGCGGAGGCCGGAAGAATTACGTGAGACTATAGGAAAGGCAAGAGGTGAGAGGGAGGCTGGGGAGGCTTCCCCGAGCCGCTGTCAAGCTCTCATATTTATTGAGCGGACGTTTGAAAAAACAATGCACAGCACATCAGAAGGCTGTGTGCCAAACACGATGCTGCAGGGTGCGTGCAGGCAACCACGCAGAGCCATTCTGATGACTTCAAAGGAAAGCAAACCCTCCGCACCCAGTAATGGACAAGCGAAGGACGTCATGCTGCAAAGGACAGTGTTCTGCTTCCAGGGCGGCCCTTCCACTTTCTGGTCCCGGACTTTGCCGTTTGGCTCCTCACGGATCCCCCTTTTTGTTTGAATATTGTTGGTGCTTCTTGGAACACAGCAAGGTAAACAATTGTTCTTGATGCTTGGAGGAGGTCATAACGAAACAAACCATTAGGAGGCTATGAGACAAATGATAAGATTAACAGACAAAGGTCTCCTGTTGGATTCTCCCAGAGGAAGACGCCACCCCAAATCACTCACGAAAGGCGTCTCTTGATGCAACAAGCAAGAGGAATTTATTCAGGAACCAGCTAGCTGGGGTCCAAGTTAGCCCAACGCAGCGGGTCTCAACAAGGACCTCGAGCAGTCAAAGCCAGAGGTTTTTATAGCATTTTCAAAAGGACAATATTTTCTTACACAGTGTTTTTCCATAGACACATAAATTTTCGGCTGGCGCCACATCCTGGGGGTTTAGCGAGATAAGATCACTTTCAGCCACATAGTGTTTTAGCAAGATAAGCTTGGTATGCATGACTAACCGACCAAGGTTAGCTGTCTGAAGGCTGCAGCTGCCCACCACCTGGTGTTCATTATTAACTTGTTTTTCACCTTGTTTTTCAAGGGCTTTCTGAACATATTCAGAAAATGGCATCTGGGTTTCTTAAGATGGCTGTGCTCAGGCTAACCTGCTGTCTTCACCGAATGTTTAGGTCCTACACTCCGATGACCCAAATACATGAATTAATGCCATGGAACCAGTTTGTTGGGTTTAATCATTTCATATTATTGGATAACTCCTGTTCAACCTGTATTTGTATTTTTTGTTGAATATCAAGTAATCGTTGATGTAATTGAGTAGAGAGAGCATTAATTTCCATTGGAAGACTGGAGGAACAGGCTTCTAGCAACTGTTTCTTACAAGGTCCCATGAGTGCTGGGATTGATTATATGGTGTGGGTAAAATTACATTATTTCCAGAATCTCTTGCCTGGCTTTACGGCATCTCCATTCAATGGGTGTTTCCAGGGGGTGGAAAGAAGTAGGCCATCTCCATGTAAATAGGTAATTAAAAGTGGGAGTGCAGGCTTATCTGGATCAGAGAGGTTGTGTGGGGGTCCCTTCTTCTGCAGCCTGGTTGCAAGAGACACAGAGGAACAGAAGTGGATAACTGCTTGTAACAAATAAACTTTATTTCTCCCTTTGATTTCGGTTTCAAAGGTATTTGCCCCCTGAATTACATCTGGTGGTAGATGGCAGGACCTCTGAACCTGAAATCTGTGTGCATGGGTGCAACCCTTGAGTGGGCTGCCCCTAGAGAGGGTGGGGGGAGATGCCCAGAACACCCACCTGTGGATACTGGGGAGGCCCCAGTTGCTGCAGCATAGAGGGTGCAGCTTCACTTATGCACAAGTTTATCATAAATTACATGTATGGTACCTCAAGGATGGGAAGATGAGTTGTCAAATTAACACAAATACTAAAACATATGTAATGGCTTTTTAGGAATGATTCATATTTTTTTGTACATCTATCCCTACCACATATTGCTTCTCCACATGTTAGGCATATTTATTCTAATACTGTCTAACTAATGAAACAAATGTTAGACTAAATTCAAATGTTCAGGCATATATAATAATTTTGCTAATAAAAGGTCTTGGCAAAGGACACAAGTATTACACTGCATAGAAAAGAACACACCAAGTCTAAAGAAAGTTTCAACCATTTGCATCTGGTTCCTGGAAAGTAATTTTTAAGTCTTTTGAACATCTGGTCTAACAGAATTTTTTTTGTCTACCAGAGAATATGGGGAACATGATAGATGATTCTAATCCTGTGATGTGTGCTGAGGACCATGTATCTTGTTGTTGCTATGTGTTTATTGAAGTTCATTTGACACACAACATTACATTGGTTTCAGGTATACAGCACAGTGTTTCAGCAGTCATATATATTTTAAAATCCTCACCCCATCTGGTGTAGTTAAGTGTCTGTCAACATAGAAAGATGTTACAGGACTATTGACTATATTATCTATGCTGTACTTTCATCCCTGTGACTAATTTATATTATATTGTGATTCTGTGCCCCTTTATCCCCTTCACCTGTTTCACCCACCCACTCCAAGCCCTCCGCCATGGTAACAACCAGTCTTTCCTCCATTTATATGAGTCTATTACTGTTTTGATCATTTTGTTTTATTTCATTTTTAGATTCCATGTGCAAGTGAAGTCATATGGTATTTGTCTTTCTCCACCTGGCTTATTTCATGGAGCAAAATACCCTCTAGATCTATCCATGTTGTTGTAAATGGGAGGATTTCTTTTCTTTTTATAACTGAATATTGTGTATATGAACCACATATTCTTTATCCATTCATCGAATGATGGACACTATCTTCTTCAATCTCTTTGATGAAGGCCTCATAGTTGCTATTCTTTCATCTCCTTGGTTAAATCTATCCCTAAGTATTTTATTGCTTTTCAGTACTATGCCGTAGTAAATGAGATTGCTTTTTAAATTTCTCTTTCAGATACTTTGTTTTAAGTTATAGAAATGTAACTGTTTTCTGTGCATTTATATAATATCATGTGACTTTACTGAATGCAAATTTCTCTGACAGCTTTTTGGTATAGTCTTCAGGGTTTTCTATACAGAAAATCATGCCATTTGCATATAGGCATAACAGGTGTTAATAAGGATGTAGAGAAATTTGAGCACCCTATCTTTTTGGTGGGAATATGAAATGGTTTTGCCACTTTCGAAAACAGACTTGCAGTTTCCAAAATGATTAAATACAGAGTTATCATATGACATAGTATTTCCACTCCTCGGTATATAGATAAAAGAAGACATATGTCTGCAAGAAATTTGTATGTGAATGTTTAAAATAGCATTATTTATAATGGCCAAAAGAGTAGAAGTAACTAAAATGTTCATTGACTGATGAATTAGTAAGAAATTATAATATTTTCATGTAATAGAATATTATTGGACAAGAAGGAAAAGTGACTTATTGATACATCCTACAACATGAATGAACCCTGAAACACATTACACTCAGTTTAA